CCCCCCACTTTGCGTGTGATCCTGACTTTCGACTTTGGCTACGTTTCGCGCAATGTTTTGACAGATGTGTCAAAAGGCCATTGTTTGGACTCGAAGATCATCCCCACTCGCTTGAATACTTTGCCTTTTGATTGGCCGGTGCGGGTTAATGTGCGGTGATTAATTGCGCCGGATGAAGGAACAGATTAGATAAAGATACGCGAACTGTCCTTTGGTTCTTGATTCACTTAAGTCAGGGGCGTCAAACTCATTGTTGATGTTTTGTTTCAATTATTGTTCGAGTGAGTGGAAACTGGGTCACAAAATGATTGCAAAATATCAACGGTATTTTTTATTACAAGTGACAATTTGACCTCTCGGGACAGATTTTAGCAAGTTGACACACGTCATTTTCTTTCGTGGGCCACATCAAATAACGCGGCGGGCCGGATCTGGCCCCCGGGGCCTCGAGTTTGACACCGGTGACTGAAGTAATAACAATTAACGTGACGTCGTTGCGTCATCAAATTCAGTCAAATGAGCTCACATTTTAAATGTCTAAGAAAAATCATGTCTGACACCCCCCCATCAATCATTTGTGCCGCAGCTACATCGTATTTTTGGAACAACACTTTTTTTTTTTCAAATATGAATTTTTACCATAGATTGATGCGCTTTTCAGCGTCTTAGGACCAAACACACATTCCCACGCAAACACTCATTCACACGCAAATTTGCTAACTTGCTAACGTCACAAGCCGTGGCTAACCCCGCCCTCTTCAAGACACATGTCGATACGTCGAATACTATCTGTACATTCGGGTTTTTTTTTCTGCGTTCAAATCCTCATCGAAAAATAAAATCAGGCCCGGACGAACGTTTCACTGATTTTGACACGGATTCTGACGCCGCTGCGCAAACTAGCTCATCGCTCACCGTTCATAATCGCAAAACACCTTTATGTCAGGATTGTTGTCAAACCGTGGACTGCCAGAGTACCAGGGAAAAAAAAAACCTCAGAGCCACAAATCAAATCTCAAACCTCCACGCTGCCCACAATTTATGAATTAATCGTTTACGATTCCCATCTGGGGTTCTTTAAACTAAATCGCGATGGTCATTTTTGTCTCAGGCCGACACGGTTCAGGAGGGTTACCCCTTTTTCATAGGTCACTACTCCTGTTTACCTTCTTTTTTTTTTTTTTTCTGATGATGAAGCACACTATATGCACCTCGTTGGGGCCAACGAGAAAGAAAAGAAAGAAAGAAAAGCCAGCGGCTGGATTTGAGTCACCGCCGCTAACAAAAGGCCGCTTTCCAGGGCTGCTTTTTTTTTTGTGTGCAGTCAGCCAATCGGCAGCCGGAGATTATCTCCCACAATTCACCCCTGCGAAAACAGGAAACGTTAGAAAGCCCCGATGACTGTGAAGGGGTTTACGAGAGAGAGAGCGAGGGCGAGAGCGAGGCCCAGACAGGCTTCTGTGTCTTTCTGCTTTCCTCTGCTGCTTGTTCTCGACGTTAGCTTAGCATGCTGAGGTCATCTGTATGCTTTCCAGCCCATTGTCGGACGGACACCGCGACCAAAGACGCGCTTCCATCAATTGAATGTTCAACATTTGGCTCCACGGGAATCCAAAAAGAAAAAAAAAAAATCCAAAACATTTTGTGGAACCTAGTTGGTAATTGGCAGCATGGGCCGGTTAGCATGTTTGCCAGTCGGACGGACACCGCGACCAAAGACGCGCTTCCATCAATTGAATGTTCAACATTTGGCTCCACGGGAATCCAAAAAGAAAAAAAAAATCCAAAACATTTTGGGGAACCTAGTTGGTAATCGGCAGCATGGGCCGGTTAGCATGTTTGCCGTCCAGTTCTGAGGGTTTGGGGTTCAAAGCTCGGCTCAAGCTTGCTTCCACCGACTGATACACGAGTAAAAGTATCTTGACAAGAAATAACTTTGGTCAAAGCTAAAGACACTTTGTAGCAGATTATTTGACAAAATATGTGAACGGATCTGACATTTGCTGTACTTGACTAGCAAAAGTCATTTTCTCATCTCAAATGTACTTATTTGTTATTTTTCAGTTATAATATTCAAAAAGTGAGTGGTTAAAACTTTGATTGTGGTTTATTAGGGTTTTTTTTTTTTTTAAATTGTAGTTGTATTTATTTAGTATGCTTCTGTGGTGTAGTTCAAGACTTGCGTGTCACGGCCAATCGGCGCTTACCTGATTTCGGGGTTTGGTCGTGCGGCTGAGCCGTTTCGGCACTGCGATTTCGTTTTCAGTCTGGAGAAAGTGGCAAAGTGGACACCTGAAATGGATAAAAAAGGGCGTTTTTAAAATTTTTAGAATTCATATTCAAGAAACTCAATATTATTTAGAAGATTGTATTTAGATCAGTGGGGCAAATTGTCAAGGAAAAGGTTGAACTTGGCTTTTCCTTTCAAATGCTTGAAAACTAAATCAGGAGTGGTCAAAATTTGGTGTGGGTTTTTTGTTTTTTAATTGGCCAACCACACATTATAATGTGTGCCCCCCCCGCAAAAAAATATATAAATAAATCAAATTCGATATTTGAATCACAACATGGCCCGCATCAAAAGCTAACAAGAAAAAAAAAAGCTAACATGCTAAAACACACGACTATTTGCATCCATCCATTTTCCGAACCGCTTATTTTTCAAATTAAAAATACAACTAAAAAAAGGCAAATGATACGAGATACCACACTTTCCATGTTGAATGTTTTTAATGTAAAAAAAAAAAAAAAAAAAAAAGACAAAAACGTGTCACCTGAGTCGTTGAATGGGACAAATTATTGGAATTTTTTTGTTTGTTTTTTAATCCACACATCACACCAAGACTCCAACTTTTCGGTTTGACTAAACTGAGATGAAAACACTTTTATTAATTTATTTATCTCAACATATTGAACTGCATTGCGGCGACCTACAGCGTACTGAATTTTACGTGGGCCTCCGCGGAAAAAAATTTGGACCTTTTGTCCTTTAAACCGTCCGTCGGTGTGAATGAGATCTTGAATGTTTTGTTTGTCTCGATGTACCCTGCGACCAGTCCAGGGTGTAACCTGTCTCTCGCCCAAAGTCATCAGGGATAGCCTCTGCTTAACCCCCCCCCCCCCAGCCCAATGAGCACAAGCAGTATTGAAAACGGATTGCTGGACAATTGGAAGTGAATATTCTGCTGGAGTGTGTTCTATTCTAGACGCTCTGTGTGTGCGCGTGTGTTTGCGAGGCACCTTCTATCTGGCGCTGTTAGCATTAAGAGGTGACCTTTCACAGGCTCTTGAGTGTTAGTGTGAGAAACACACTCTCGCTGTCCCTCTCTCATCTGCCTCTTAGCTCGCCACGCACGCACACACACACACGCACACGCACACGCACACACACACACATATATATATATATATATATATATATATATACGTTGCATCTCATGTGAGTGCTGGCTGACCCCTGCCAAGTCTGATTAAGGAGCCGCGGTGATGTGTTTCTTTGAGCCCAGTCCCTCCTT